TTACGGTTGGACTTCCAATAAACTCCAAGCTTTGTTCTTACCACTTTCTGTTGCTTGAACACCCTGGGGCTTCAATCGGAAATCCCCTGAAGCATTGGCACCAAGCAATAGAGTGAGACGGTCTTTCATGGGTTTATGCCCAGGTAAAGAGGCTTCATCTTTGGTGATGAATGTTCTTTTGGGCATCTTTTTCCAGAACAGCCCAGTTTCGTCCACATTGAACACTTGCTGTGGAAGATAATTTTCTTCTTCCATCAGTTTTTAAATTCAACTAAAAACTTTGCTGCCCCTTCTTTATCAGCACTAGCAGCTTCACCATGCCTAACAACACTTAAAATGTCACTTCTTTTCTTAAATTTTTCGAACCAGCCTTTGCTAGCCCGAAAATCTTCAAATTCTGTTCCTGAAGAACCAGGTTGATCTGCCTTTAAATGTTCATAAATCTCCCTGGCTCTTTCACAAATGAAATCACCAGAAACTGAATCACCTTTCATCTGTTTTCCCTAATCCAGATTATAAGTAACCTCTCAGTTTCTACGATTAGGGATCTACTTTTAAACACTCTTGTAGATTTGTCTCTCACGTTCACTTCCTTAAATTTGTCTTTTTGTGCAAGAATTGTCGACACAGTTGATGCCGACATGCCATATTCTTTGCATAGCGCATTTGATTTAATGCCTTGTTCGAGTTTTTTTATTATTTCCTGCTTTATTTGGATTGAAATTGCTTTTCTTGATCTCTTAGGCCCCATGCTGGATTCAAACAATGGCAACACGTATTTTTCAAAGTTAAACTAGCTGTAAATAAAGAATATTTTCTTTAAAATAACACTGCACTGCACTATATATTGTCAATATGTAAAATAATTTTCAAAATGACCAATAATTTGCTTGGAAACACAGAAAAAAAGCGTTTAGTTGAAGAGAGTCTCAAGCAAGATGTTACCTCCAGTGTAAACAGAGAGAGACTAACGCCTGTTTGCTGTGTTAAGAGGCTGGATGCCGCACATTAAACTAGTCACTTTACCTTCAATTTTGTTCAATAATTGTTAAAATGACTAAAAAATTGGATATTAAACTTTTAAAATTATTGAATAGTATAAACTTCTTGATATTTACTAAAATAATAAGGAATTTAAGCCCTAGAACCGATTAATATATTGGCGGACTGATACTAAAGCTGGTTGCCCGGTCAGTGCAAGCGAAAACATGTTGAGGTCGGTTCACAAGAACTTCGTTAAGCGAAATTTTTTTCGTTAACCGAATTGAAGATCCTTATGGAAGGCAGTTCGTTAATCGAAATTGCGTTAACCGAGCTTCAACCAGAAGTCTTTCTGTGACACAAGATGATTTGAATACTTCTAAGCTTTTTTCCCAAGCAATGGGGTGATTATTATTCCTAACATGAACGAACAAGGCACTGCTTTCAGATGCAGGTTAAAAATGCTTTGAAAACCTTTGATCTAGATGTATGATAGTTATTTTGTGGGTCCCTTTTTTCTGACCTGACCTGGCTAGTCACGTCACCACCCTTCTCTTAAGCTCCTCTACATGTGTTGGTGTGGGGATTAGTGGATGTCATCATTATGACCTGACCTCATGCTTTTAAGGTCACCCTGTATATTTAAGCCTCTCTCTGTCCATGTAATCCAGTTGCCTCTGAAGATGTCTTGAATAAAGACGAAAGCTAAGGTACTCCGTTGTTTCCATTTTCCTGCAGGATTTATCAAGATTTATCTTATCCACGTTTTCACAGATTTACATGAAATATATATATATATATATATATATATATATATATATATATATATATATATATATATATATATATATATATATATATATATATATGGATCATATGAAGATCTCCAAAGTATCCAACTGAAGATCCTCCCCCCAGTCGCGCTCATATGAAGATCCTCCCCAACATATAATATAAATAAACAACATAAGGATTAAATAATAAAACATTATTCAGATTACTTTCTTGTTACACTAAATATTGGTGTAGGTTAGGTTAGGTTGTCAGTGACGTCAGGTCAGGTTTGGTCATTGGTCAGGTCCTCCCATCCAGGCTTGATCATATGAAGATCCTCCCCCCCCAAGTAGGTTTGGGGGGGAGGATCTTCATATGATCCATATATATATATATATATATATATATATATATATATAGAGAGACAGATACAGCTACAGACAGACACACACACATATTATACATACACACATACATATATATACACACACACACACACACACACACACACACATGCCGATTCACTCTGCACACATATACACACACACACACACACACACACACATACACATATACATACATACATACACATATCAAACAGATCTCGATTTATGGGGATCAGGTCGCCATTTAACATACACAAACATAGCAGTTCTAGACTATGTTATATTTCACACAAAGCTTGTTCATCGAGCTGATGGCGCCGTGAACCTCTCGTTAGGAACTGCCCGTGCCATTTATGTGGATATCAGTAGCATTTTACCCAATCCAGCTGGTATGAAACACGAGGTACCATATATACTTCATTTTTAGTCCATATAACACACGGACTTTAAAGCTCGATGAACAGGCTTTGTGTGAAATATAACATAGTCTAGAACTGCTTTTAATGTCTTTGTGGCATGGTCGGTAGCGTTCCCTGGTCCCACATAGTAGGTCGAGGGTTCGAGTCCTGGCTGGTGAGGTCGTTGATTATATGTTCAAAGTCCGCGTATTGTGAATAAACAAAATTAACTACACTATGATACTGTATACCTTACACTGCACTGTACTCTTCAGTAGATGCTGTCATGCCAAATGGTGATATGATACAGGATGACCTGCTTTGTCCTGTATTGTCTACTGTGACAGCTGATGCCGTCACTCTCCTCTTCCTCCATGGAGGAAATGTACACTGTATACAGTACATACACCCTCTACACACTAAACCCACAGTAAGCATACACTTTCCACATGTACAGTACAGTATACATAACTCATCACTTTTTATGTCTAACACTGCTTTAACAGCACTGCACAACACAGGTCGTATGCAACAGCAGCAGTGAGCGAACAAACTTTTACAATAGCGGCAGACAATGAAATAAGTGTGTCATGATGCTAGAGAGTGAGGAGATACTGTGAAATACATCAGCCAATCATAGGCAACCCATGCAGATACTCAGATACTCTCTTCCTACCCACCGATGCACTCGTTCAGAAATTCAATCTAATGCCTGAAAAACTTTTCATGTAATGCTAAAATTTATTTTCCAGGTAATGTAAAGTTCCGGGGATATTACTGAAATTGTAATACAGAACAAAATACAGTAATTAGATACAATATCCTGTACTCAAAATTTTATTAGCCAGTAAAATATGACCAGTCAACAAATCAGATAATCCCACAAAACCTAAGAAAGGAACTGCAGCGAGCCTATTGGCTCATACTGGGCAGTCCCATTTACACCCAACCCCTATTGCTCATATATCTATCCAACCTGTTTGAAGCTATCCAGCGTATCCGAGTTAATAATGATGTTTGGCAACTTATTCCACTCGTCCACTACTCTTTCCAAACCAATGTTTACCTATTTCGCGCCTAAATCTAAATTTGTCTAATTTTAAACCATTGTTACGAGTTGGCTCCTGGTTGGATAGTTTGAGTACCTTTGTAATATCCTCTTTGTTTAGCCGACTTCCATTTATACACCTCTATCATGTCGCCCCTCACTCTACGTCTCTCAATGGAGGGCAAATTAAGATGCTTTACCCTGTCTCTGTACTCAAGGTTCCTAATGCCCGAGAATAGTCGTCATTCTCCTCCGAATTCTTTCCAAGGATTCTACATCTATTCTGCAATATGGTGACCAGAATTGAACTGCGTAATCCAGGTGAGGTCTCAAGAACTATTCTACGCTGGGCAGAACTTCTGTACTGTATTGCATGCTTAACAGATAGAAATATTGGACAGTTATACAAACACATTTTAATTATTAAATTATTAATTACCTTTCCTATTTCAAATGATAAATTAACAAAACGATGAACAAAGGGTCAATGTTCTGTACACTCACCATAAAAATTTCTTGAATGCTCCGAGGGTCATACAATGACAGAACGAATGAGAAATCCGAACATTGGAGGAAGTTTTATTGCAATTAAAATTATTCTTTTCACCTATAAATACTATAGACGAACGAGTGACATACATTTCGAAATATTGAGTCACTTAGCAACCAGACATACCAACAATTCTGAGATGAACGAACCATGGTGCTCATTTTGAAACCTGCCATGCCCAACTGTTCAAGAACTTTTTGTGGCAAGTGTACGAGGATTCCCGATAGTTCAATGAGCTATTGTGCTTCTGCAGACATCAAAGTGGGGCAGTATTCTGTTTCCCTTCATTTTTTCTTTGTATATTTCAAACCTGTCGTATCCTTTCCTTAAATTTGTTCAAAGTTGGTAACTCATTAAAAACCAAATTTCCCTTGCTTTTCACTGCAGCCTTGCTAGTTTTTCATAATAGGAGTAAACGTCTAAAATCTGTACTGTCCTGCACTGGATTTGCTCCCCAATAACAGTATTGTAAAGGACTGAGAATACCGAGCACACAAAATAAACGAGGCAACTTATGAAAATTTGGTGTATTTGTGACATTTTTAATAATGAAAATCTTAGGCTTTCAATATCCCTATCAATGAAATAATTCCCCCCTTTTAATGATCCACATACAGAAGACACCTTCCATGTTCTTTTCCTTGCTGAACAAGAAACTGGCAAAAGCTAACTTAAACTGCAGTACACAAAACACTGGTAAGAACACAAATTTTATTACAAATAGGTTAAAATTATATAGATAATGAGAAATCTAGTTCAATTTGTAAATAATTATGGACATCCTCTCCCAAATTATTCTCAATTCAACTATCTAGTCAATCTTACATCCTGTGCCACAACAACCAGGGATAGAAAAGTCAACATCAAGACAAAGTTTATTTAGAACCGGAGCTTCTGGAAGAGCCAGCGATTCTTTCCACTCTTGTATCTGAAAAGAACAATTGCATCGAATAAACTTTCTGATCACGTTAAATAGTTTGTTACTTACGGTCTTATTCATAACACTCTTGGAGGGTTCATACACAAAATTACATCTGATCTTATTGCTTGAGGGTTTTCATACCCAAATTTGCATATGACACACAATATGTACATTTGGCAACATCAGCACGATCTGGCAACTACAGTATTTAGACTGCACTCCAAGGTCACCACACCAGTCTCCCTTTTGTGTTTAAAGGACCCAGGATATAAGGTTGATCTACATTTCTCACACATTTTCTTGTGGCATGTGCTGATTTCTCCCGCAACACAGTGATTTCATTTATTCCTAACAGTGTTGTGACCCATACCTCATGTTCCTGGCAAGGTTGGAGGGGGTGGGAAAACATAATAAGTGCAGGAGATTGCACCACATGGTGATAGTGTAGTGCCCCCCTATGCCCCTCCCAAGCAAAATAATTTTTTCACCTTTCAAAATTTTTTGCTAAATATGTATGTTTTATAACAGAATAAGGTTCATATTGCATTCACATGAAGTACCATAGGTATAAAGTGATGCATAAACATTTTCATTAAGAGTAAACAAAAATAATTATTCTGCGATTACTCGTATAAAACTTTGTAGATAATTTATCTAGTGCTTGTGCAAAAAATCCCACCATTTTATCTCAAATAGCAAGCTTGCTATGACTCATTAAATACAATTATCTCTCATGTGGTGCAGTTAAGTGAGTAACAGGCGTCTCGCAGGAGAGCGCCTACCCAAACCCAAGTGTGTTAAATACAATTGCTGAACTGACAGCCTTTACTTGAAAGCTCTTCAACATTTCCCACAACTGAATCTATTTGATCTCTTATATTCAGCTGCTTATCTTTTATAACATCCAAGAATACAGTTCTAAAACAAAATTAAGAATCACATCACTTTCTTCAGTTTAACCACCACTGATCCATGAATATAACTTTACACACTTTCAAATTTTTTTTAATATACTGTACTGTCATACTGTGTACCATGCCTAAAGATAAACAGGCAAAAACATAATACTGGTGTTATTAATGCTAAAGTAGTCAAGAACATTTCACAACCTAGTTTAGAGAATTAAACTGCCTCATCAGGTTAACTTGGGGGTCTAGTACAGTAGCATATAACTATTGCATAACTACAAACTGGGTGCTGTTATTAGAATTAAGCACCTATCCCCTTAATAAATCTCTTCCCCAGAAGGGTGACTTGGTTACACAGGTTGCTCTCTAAAGGCAGACATAAAATAACCTAAAATAGTAACTCTGTCTACTTAGCAAATAAACACTGCATCAACTTGTTTTAAGAATTAATCCACTAAATAAGTATTTTCCAAGTTGTGTGATTTGTTTTTTAAATTGAACCATGTGTTAGTTCATAAAATGGCCTAAAAAACCAATATTCTGACCCAAAAATATAATTTGAATGTTGTGAGAAAAAATTAAGTAAATAAAAAATTAAAATATGACTAGGTAAAAATTTAGAATAAAGCTGTGACAATCGTTGGGGCTATGTCCTAAAATATAGGGATAAGAATTGTATACTGACATGGCTCGAGAGGGAGGGAGGGAGGGACAGATGGAGAGAGAGAGAGAGGGAGAGAGAGAGAGGAGAGAGAGAGGAGAGAGAGAGAGAGAGGAGAGGAGAGGAGAGAGAGAGAGGGAGGGAGGAGGAGGAGGAGGGAGGGAGGAGGAGAGAGAGAGAGAGAGAGAGAGGAGAGGAGAGGAGAGAGAGAGAGAGAGAGAGAGAGAGAGAGGAGAGGAGAGAGAGAGAGAGAGAGAGAGAGAGAGAGAGAGAGAGAGAGAGAGAGGGGGGGAGAGAGGGGGGGGGGAGAGAGAGAGAGAGAGAGAGAGAGAGAGAGAGAGAGAGAGAGAGAGAGAGAGAGAGGGAGGGAGGGAGAGAGAGAGAGAGAGAGAGGAGAGAGAGAGAGAGAGAGAGAGAGAGAGAGAGAGAGAGAGAGAGAGAGAGAGAGAGAGAGAGGGAGAGAGGGAGAGAGGGAGGGAGGGAGGGACCTAGATTGCATCTTTTGAAATATTGTTCAGTAATAAAGGGAGTTACTTCTTTTGTATTAAAACTAGTAATTCATGGAATATGTTAACAGTTTAAGTGACAAATCTACAAAATGACTATTAACCTTTCTTCCAGCTTAGCCTTCACAAGTCTGCGTGCCTTCCTCCTCCGTGCAGGGTCCTTCAGGATCTCCTTGTTAATTTTCACTTTGTCGAATACAATGTCAGTAGCAGTATAACGAGTAGGCATCATATGCTTTAGGTTCACAATCTGAAATTAAAATACCTTAGTAACCAAACAAAAACTTCATGCACTCTAATAGCTGTGGCATTCATCAACTTCAAAGTTTAACCAACATTTTTCCTGGCAGAATGAGTAAGCCACAAAAATCCGATGGCAACTATTGGGTCAAACACGAATGGGATGTCCCCCTCCCTTTGTGCTTTCACATGCTCTTCACCACACCTACAGTACAAGTTCCAGGCACCTTACAGACTACTTTTAAACTATTTACTAACTATGCAACAAATGATATTTCTGTCATGAAAATCATCAGTACTATCACTGACATGTAACTGCACCACCTAATGCAGCAGCTAACTATTTTCTAGCCTAACCACTTAAAAATAATAAAACTAATTCCATACCATTAAACCATGGTTACAACAGTAAAAATACAGGAAAGTTATGACTAACCTTAACAAAAGGCTTGATCCTTGACCTTCTGGCTATCTTTTTCTTGCTCATGGATTTCATTACTTTGCGTGGGTAGCGTTCAATACCAGCAACCAAGGCGTGCTCATAAGGACGGTCCTGAGTACCATCATCATTACTCTTGATTACAATGGCCTTTTTGCCAGCACGCCTTCCTGTGAGAAGGATGACCACACGGCCTGGTTTGAACACCTTCACCATTGTGCTGTAAATTCCAAGACATTAACTTGTTAATTCATGAAAGTGTAATTTTTTACACCCGATTAGAAAACAATTGTATATGACTATTACCTATTGTACTGACATCCACATCTTTCCTTTAACAAGGATTTCACCAAATATGTTTCAATATCTTATAGTGTACTGTACCCAGTATAATACTGCAGTGTAATTCTATGAGTTGCATTTAAATCAATTACCCCAGTTTTGACCCATGTCTTACAAAAACGTAAGAATGAAGGAAGTTGCAGGTGGCATGTTAGCCCATGTTTACAGTACTTGTACATCCAATGTAACACATCTGTCCCAAATATATTTTAATCTTCCCAATGAGCTCCAAACCAAAGGTTACCTAACTCCTTCCCAAACTTAAATTCTGATTTAAAAATCAATGCTACTTGCTTGCTCTTTACTTGATAAAATAAGTAGAGTACCCTAGTGACAACACCTATATTTAACCCCATCTTCTGTTTATACACTTCAGTCAGATTGCCCTCACACAACTTCTCTAAGATAATGCAAATTCTCAACCTTTTCTGATGTTATCTAAGGAATATTTATCCATTCTATAGTAGTGACCATATTTGAATTGGACATTCCTTGTGAGGTCTCACCAATGCTATATAGACAGACCCCGACTTACGACTGCTACGACCGCCGCAGATTTTTTTTTTTTTTTCAAATGATGCATTTTCTATACCGAAACGTTTCCAGTTAATGTAGTCTCCATGTATAATTAGAAAATTATGGGGGCCCCATGTGCATTCAGCTGACTACATTTAAGGTAAGTGCTCAGTCACACTGTAACCATTCCTTATTATTTATTACTTTCACTGTACTGTATCCATTCCTCATTATTCATTACTTTTACTGTACTGTACTGTATTTCATTGTAGATTATTTATTAAAAAAAAAAAAAATTATCTATGTCGGACTTACGACCTGGATTTGGGTCCCTAACCCCGTCGAAAGTCGGGGTCTATCTGTATACTTGTTGTAAGGTAACATCACTTCTTCTATTACAGTAATATCTCCGTTATCCGGAATCCCTCAAACCCGGAACTCTCCGAAAGCCGGAATTGAAATTTTCTCAGAAATCATTCCCAAAGCCGGATTCCGAAAAATTCCAGTTTTGGGAACGATTTTCCGAGGTGGCAAATTTTCTGGAAAATCCCAAGGATGGAGCATTTTTATTCTGGGTTTGAGAGATGAAAATCAGGGGCATTTTCCTGCAATTCCAAGAAAAATTATTCCACTACCCGAAAAAATTCCGGGTGCGGGGGGCATTTTTCTGGGTTCTTAAGATAATGTAATGCGTAATTTCTGGAACTTCCGAGAACATTTTTCCGTTATCCGGAAAATTCCGGGGATGAGGGATTTTTTTTCCAGCTTTGAGATGAAATAATGCATCATTCTGGAACCAAGAACATTTTTCCATTAATTAGAAAATTCCGGGGATGAGGGATTTTTTTTCCAGCTTTGAGAGAGTTGTCTTGTTATGAGAAAATCCCTCATTCCCGGAAGTGCTCTGCACCAACTGATCCGGTTAATGGAGATATCGCTGTACTAAAGTCCCTAGATATAAAAAGTATCAAGTTGTTAACTTATTTCTTACATAAATCTTCCTTATACACTAATTGGATTTATCTTTTTCCACATTGTCCAGCCGATAGTTGGGTCTCCTATGATCATTTCCTAGCTTTAGAATTTTACATTATATTGTAACGTTGACATTCTACAGTCCATGTTAAATACTGGATCACCACTTACGTTCCCTTGGATGGACAGTGCATATTCATTCAGAAACTTAGGAAAAAATCACAAAAGTTGAAAATCTTCCACCAGTCCTGGAATTATTCTCGAAGCAAGAAAGAAGGGCAATACTTGAGGGCAATTGTGCATCTGAACCACCAATTTGACTCCATAGGAATAATCCTATAAATTGGTATTAATTAGGGAGATCAACAAGTGCAAAATTTTATCTTGACGTATTCAGTTGCATTATGCCTACCTTGTGACCTACAGGTAAACACTAAAAATACGCGAATATATTTTTTCCTCCGCCATCGGTTAAACGAGGTAAGCTATTTATAAGAACATAGGGAATCTGCAATAGGCGGGTTGGCCTGTGCATGGCAGCTCCTGTCGAGAGTTACTACCACTCTCTATCATCCATGAATCCATCCAGCCTCTTTTTAAAACTTTCCAGCACTTACTACAAAGTTGCTAAGCTTGTTCTACTCGTCCACCACCCAATATGTGAACCAGTTCCTTCCTATCTCTCTCCTAAACCTAAACTTATCCAACTTAAATCCGTTGTTACGAGTCCTATCCTGCTCGGATATTATAAGAACTTTATATATATCCCCTTTATTGATTCCTTTCACCCACTTGAATACTTCTATCATATCTCCCCGTACTCTTCGTCTTTCTAGGGAAGGACTTTCCTAGGTTGGAAAGGTTGGGACAGGTTTTTTTTTTTACCCCCACCCACTTTGTACAATTCAAGGTCATATCTTGTTATATATGCATTTCTCATGAAATTAAAAGCCCAAATTCCAATCACCATGAAAAACATTAAAAATTACCCTATTTAATTTTTCAAATTTCCATTATAGCATAAATCTTTACCCCACAAATTAAAGAATTCAGCAGTGTCTGGTACTTCATAATTGTTACCAGTTGCTGAGGGGAATAGTTGAAAACTTAGCAATTATTAATTGAACAAAACTAAGCTACCGAACCTAAAATACTTGTTACATTGTAGTATGTTGAGATTCTAAAAAAAATCTAATGCCGAGATATAAGAAGAAACAAGGTAGATATGACAAGTGGGTGTCATATGTAAAAGGGGTAAATCTGACTCGTGCAACTCATACAGTTCGTGCATTTATTGTTTTTGTGGGGGGAAATAGCACACGCAGGCACAGGTCATCGCCCCACACTAGGGCGGGGCAAAAATATAAGCATAGAAAGAAAAATTAGAAGAGAAAGACTTTCTAAACTTCGTATACAGTACTGAATCGCATTTAATTCTGAATAATTTTCTTCTATGGTATTTCTTGTGCATATGAACAGTTATGGAGACAGGCACCCCTTCCATCCAACAATTTTAAGTCTAAGAAAGTGGCCAGGACTTTGAATATTAGAGGGAAATTGTGGGGGCACTACTGAACCTAATTTAACTCTATGTTCCTAGCAGGCAGACCCTCACATCGTGGGTGGTGAGGGTTGCATCAGTCGACACACTAACTTTGTCAACAGATGCTAATTTAAATCAGTCCAAGTACTGCTTATATCCGTTTTCATCAATTTTCACAAGAAATACGAGAAGAAAATTTATTCGCAATTAAATTCTAACAGAAATTCCCAGCCAGGCAGACTAACCTGACCTAAGCCTCCAGTTTGCCCGACCAGGAATTCCCAGCATGGCTTCAAAAGTGGGCATTCATATTTCGTAAATCTATTATCATTCTTTTCAACTGTTTTTGAATCAGTGCATGACGGACACTATTGTGATGTCAATAACCTCAACTTTAGCAAAGCCTTCGACAGGGTTCTCCACAAAAGACTAATGCGTAAAGTGGAGGGTCATGGAATTGGAGGATTTTCTAAACTGGATTAGGGCATGGTTACAGGACAAGAAAAGAGTCAGCATTAATGGCACTAAATCCGAGTAAGGTCACGTCACAAGTGGAGTACCCCAAGGCTGACGTTTCCCTCGCAAACGACCTAGAGCCGAGATATTTATTATGTCGGTGGGTGGAGCCCACTGGTTAAGAAGTCAGGTAGGTTTGTTTGGTGTAAAACCAAAAAAATATATAAATACTGAATCATATTCTGTACTATAAACGACAACCAACCTCCGCCACGGCCACTGTGAAACTGGTCAATGAAATTAAAATCAAACCCAGGCTGCTTCCTTTGAAAAAAAATCAAATGTGATTGGTCGAAAAAAATTTGCGTGATTTCAATACCTCATTGGTTACGACAGGATGGCGTCAGTCAACATTGCGAATGCGTGATGCGCCGATAACATCTCTCAGACGAAGACTGAAAAACTACTTAAAATCAATTATTTCAAACTATTCGAAACCACCTGGAGAAGCACAAGTTGATCAATGATTCCCAACATGGCTTCACAAGCGGGCATTCATGTCTAACAAATCTATTAACATTCTTTTCATCAGTTTTCGAATCGGTGGACGAGGGGCACAATTATGATGTGGTATATCTCGACTTTAGCAAAGCCTTCGACAGAGTCCCCCACGAAAGACCAATTAAAAAGTTAGAAGCGCATGGCATCAAAGGTAATATCCTTAAATGGATTAGGGCGTGGTTAAGGGACAGGAAACAGCGAGTGAGCATAAACAGCACTAAATCACATTGGAGCAACGTCACTAGTGGAGTTCCCCTAGGCTCAGTACTTGGACCATTATTATTTATTATAATTACATAAACGACATAGATATCGACATAGACAGCAACATAAGTAAATTTGCTGATGACACTAAAATAGGACGTGTAATTAAATCTGACGAGGACTCTGCAAAACTACAGGAAGATCTAAACAAATTTTTCGAATGGTCGGTAAAATGGCAGATGAAATTCAATGTGGACAAATGTAAAGTACTCAGTATAGGAGATGTAAACAGGGAAACCAGTTACCAGATGAACAACGATGCCATTGTGGAATCCAACTGCGAGAGAGATTTAGGAGTAATGATAAGTGGGAATCTTAAGCCAAGTAAACAATGTGTTTTTGCTCGTAACAAGGCTAATAAAGTACTTGGTTTCATACAAAGGAGTGTTAGTTACAAGACTAGCGAGGTCATCTTAAAATTATTCCTAGCGCTTGTGAGACCACACCTGGATTACGCACTTCAGTTCTGGTCACCGTATTACAGAATGGATATAGAATCATTGGAAAGAATCCAGAGGAGAATGACAAGACTAATCCCGGGCATTAGGAACCTTGAAAACAGAGACAGGTTAAAGCATCTTAATTTGCACTCCCTCGAGAGGGGTCCGACTAATTACCCAAATGTAGCCGCAATTAAGTCAAATAATGGTCCTACATGAATAAATCAGGTTACCAATCACTTCTCGACTGGTATTTGATGTCACAAAGTAAAAAAAAATTGGAAAACGTAATTTAATTTGAGTTAATAGATCAAGTGCATGTACCTAACCTAACCTAATCTAATCTAACCTAACACAACACAGATTAAATTAAGTTTACCAATTTTATGTGACTATGACACCAAATAAAAATCGAGAAGTGATTCACAGCCCGATTTACGCTTGTACGACCATCATTTGACTTCATTGCGGCTACATTGGGTACATTTGGGTAATTACTCGCTCCCTCGGTACATGCACGCGATCTATTAACTCAGATTAAAGTAAGTTTTCCAATTTTTTTTGACTTTGTGACACCAAATACTAGTCGAGAAGTGATTAGCAGTCCGATTTATTCATGTAGGACCATTATTTGACTTCATTGCGGCTACATTTTGCTACATTTGGGTAATTAGTCGGACCGCTCGAGACGTAAAGTGAGGGGCGACATGATAGAGGTGTATAAATGGAAGTCAGGGTTAAACAAAGGGGACATTACAAAGGTACTCAAACTATCCAACCAGGAGCGAACCAGTAACAATGGTTTTAAATTAGACAAATTTTGATTTAGGCGTGAAATTGGTAAACACTGGTTTGGAAACAGAGTAGTGGATGAGTGGAACAAGTTACCAAATATCATCATTAACTCGAATACGCTGAATAGCTTCAAACATAGGTTGGATGCTTATATGAGCAATAGGGGTTGGGTATAAACGGGACTGCCCAGTATGGGCCAATAGGCCCGCTGCAGTTTCCTCCATTCTTATGTTATGTTCTTATGTATATAAGAGGTTCAAAATGCTCAGAATAGCGAGATCTAAATGTTTCATTAGTTTATAACTTTCAGGCACACTATGTCCTAAAGTAAAATAATACCCATATTTCTAATATCCAAACAAAGACCAGTGCATAGGTGAAATTATACCGTATTTTGTATTTACTTGGCCATGATTTTTGTCAGTAAACGCCCAACCAAAAACCCAGTAACTAAAAGAACAAAAAAAAAACAGGCAATTTCCGACGGAAATCAAGATCAGAACCAATCAAAACACAAAAATACATTAGAAATACATAGTTTTGACTAACAGTTGTGTGTACTATAAATTGACCTGGAAAAGTTCTCGACCCCACCTAGTGGCAGTGATCTTACACCCACTAAACTCCAAATTCCTGTGGCTAGTTAATCTGGACCTATGCCAGAGTATTATTATGTTTCTTCACTCTCTTAATCCCACGTTTGCCCTCTGCTTCACAGCTCTGACCAGTTATGGGGTAAACAAACATTATAAAACCTAATTGTGCCAGTTCTAACTGTACACCGACAAAAGTTTCAGGTAAATCCTGACGTACATCAACACTGGTCCACCTACTAGTACTCAGACGTTAGCGAAAATCATCCAGTAAATTTTTTACGTGAAATTCACCCAGATAGACACGAGCCCTCGTCTCTCAACCTTTACTTTGCTCGCAATCACCATTGGCTGGCGTGTTAATTACTTCCTCAGCAAAACTAACCATTTTCTTGCTGTCATAAGAATTACACAATAATATAACTATTCTATAAACCGCATTCCTTATTTATTAACATGTAAATAACTATAAACCATCAACGAGTTTGTTTGTTTACATGGTGTTGACTGTCTCCACACAGCCCAATACATTTTCATATATTTCTCAGAGTTTTCTACATAAACCACAATATCCACCTAATCAACAGGTAACCAGACGATGTAAAAATGTATCACAAAATTATAAACGTAACTGTGGGTAAGATTACTTTGATGATGATGGATAAATGAGAATATTAAGACTCACTTCACCGCTTCACTCACAAGAGGTGGACAAGAGACGCGAGAAAGGAGCCTTATGGCATCAATGACTCTCTTGATGGTTCTAACTCATAATACAATACATAGATTCAATAATAAGTTCCTTAATACTTTAAAATATATTTTTTTAAATTATTTTATATACTTTATAGATATTTAATGTATTTTAGTCATTATTTTATTATTTAAAGACTAAGTACAGAGGCCACAGCTGTTGAAGGTAAACAAGACTCTTCACTCTGGTCAGGTGACAACTCCAGGTAACATTGCTCTATATATTACCATCAAGTCCTGTAATTCTCACTAAATCTCTCACTTTCTCACTTAAAGCGGTCAATTTATAGTACAGAACATGATTCAATATTTATATTTTTTTTTGTTCTACACCAAACAAACCTACCAGTGGTCTCCGCCCCCCGACACAATAAATGTCTCGGCTCTTGGTCGTTTGAGAGGGAAACAGCATTGAAGAAAAGGTGGTAAATTTGCATTGTCACATCGTTCACCTTTATCAAGTAAAAAATATATTTTGCTAGTGTATTTGTGTGTGTTTAGACCGAATATGATCTTCATTTGTGGCGGAAATTAGCCGGGGTTTTTTAGCGACTTTTTTTCGTTTGACGTTTTTCGAAAAAAAAGTGGCCAAGCGACTAAAAAATACAAAAAAAAAAACACTAGAAAAACCCAAACCTAACCTAACCTAACTGACTCTCACCATATGAGGGAATCATCTAATTCTTACCTTATAGGTCTGGTTCTTGATCGTCGTTGGTTTCTGGGATTCTCACCCAACGTCACTTATGTTGGTCTTTGCGATGTTTACATTCCATCTTGCTCTTCATACACTTTACTGAGGTTGGAAGAACACCATGCGATCCAAAAAATGCTATTGTTTCTACGTTTTTTTTTTCAAAAACTTGCAATCAGCTCCATATACTTTAAGTGACATCCATTGCAGACTTCCATGGTCGGAACTGAACTTGAATTTCAAAATATGAGAAACCCAAAATAAAACTTGATTTTGATTGGGCCAAATATACTCTGAATTAGCAAAAACTCTTTTGATTGGCCGCGTGACGTATACGGGTACGCATGCGCATCGTGATTTATGAAGGAGACGCGAGAGACACCCAGTGTTAGGTGAGAGGCAGACGATAATGGCGGGAAATAATGGAAGAAAATAGAAATTTATTTGGAAAAGCTATCACCGTTATTATACATTTCCGCCGGTAATGTAATAGATGAAAATTATCTTATAATTAGACATCTTATTCGAATATGATAATAGATTAGTGGTAGGAATGAACGGTGTGTAAACGCAATAATACCGAAAAAGTGTCTTGAAATTGTCTAAACTTTGTTGGCAGTGGATATTTTGCTGTGACTGGCTAAGTTCTTACTATTGCTATTTTACTGTGAGTGCACTCTGATTGGCTAAGTACTTTCTGTTTAATATGACAGGGGGTCTGCCCCCTGGCAAGGAAGTTAGGTAAGATTAGGTATGTTTCTTTGGTTGGTTAGGTCAGGTTCTATTAGGTTCTAGTAAATCTCGCCTCTTTTATAATGATAAGAAAGTTACAGTCCAACTCGGCCCATTGCCAACTCAGCTCACATCCAACTTGGACAACTTAGGTTAACGAACTCGGACTAAAAAATAAAAGTTTACACATTTTTGCATAAATGATAGAATAAAAAGCAGCTTCGATTGTAAGAGGGGGTAGGGGATTGATTTGTTATTATTTATCTTTTCATTCTATATTTTTGGTATACTGTACTGTACTGTATTAATGTACAGTTGCCAGCAAAAGTCCTCCCACATCTTGCTACACAGGGCTGTGGGAGAATCTTTTGCTACCAACTGTACATATGTGGAAGAGGTGATCTTTTTTTCTTTTTTATATATTATTTTATATTTTATGTTTAGTTCACAATTAAGATCACTTTACCTGGAGACCTGACAACGACACCCTCACAAAATATGACGGTTGAGGATGACCTGATCACGAGACCTGAGGTCGACATTTAAGAACAATTTAAATAATGAGTAACTTAATGCACAAAGGCAGAACATACCATACAGATAACTTGGATCAAATAACAATGACCCCAAAGGAAGGTTATAGGTTGGGGAATATATCGTGAAGTTTACCTCTGAGATTATTATAAGGTTAAGACTGAGATAAGAAAAGCAAAGAGAAATGATGAACTGAAGGTAGGGAGGCAAAGTTAAACCCCAAGGGATTCTTTCAAATGTATCAAACTAAAACATGAGACAAGATTGGACCAATACCGGTGTGCTAACTGATAACGATGGAGAAATGAGCAATACAAGGCTGCCTCACTTATTGCAAAAGTTACCGGCATGAAACTCGTTGCGAATATCAAAATTGCGAATAGCGGAGCAATTTGTCCCATAAGAAATAATGTAGATAGGGGGGATACAGGCATCACGGTGGTCACGGCCGTCAGATTTTAACACTTGTTTTACTCAATACATATAGAACATAAAATAAATAAAGAAACAAGGGCATAATATCAAATAAACATCAATAACAAACACTTTGAGTTTATTCGGCGTATATGTTTACAAGTACAGTATACTTTATATGTTTGAGTGTTTGAATGTTTATGTGCGTAGGTGTGTGAGGTAAGTTTTAAACGTAGACTGTTAATTTACCTCTGATGTGCTGTGTTGCTTGCTTGCTGAAGTTGGCATTAGGGGAGCCACCTCACTCTCCTCACTGCCAGGGTCGTCAGCCACCTCACTCTCATCATCACTGCCAGGGTCGTCAACCACCTCACTCTCATCATCACTGCCAGGGTCGTCAGCCACCTCACTCTCATTATCACTGTCAATTTTCACTAAAAGCTGTTGTTCTCCACTGGTTGAAGGCTGTGGTTCACTTGTTGAAGGCTGTCGTTCACTTGTTGAAGGCTGTCGTTCACTCGTTGAAGGCTGTGGTTTTACACTGGTCTTAAACAGCTGCCTAAAAGCTGTGTTCTGTTTGGGTGTACGTGGGGTGGTTGGTGCACTGGGGGTTGAAGGTTTGGGCGTGATAAATGCATCAAGAGTCATTTGTTGTGCATTCTTCCTCTTCTCCCCAAGCACCTCGCAGTATGCTCATATGTCTTTCTTGACATTGCGGATGATAGTGCAACTTTGGTCAACATTAGGGTCCATTTCTAATGCCACATCCATCGCCATCTCAAAAGAAGAAATCAGCTTCCTTAGGTTCCGTACAGTGAGGAGTTGTGTTGGAGTTTTATCTGCATCTTCTCCCGTTGTAAGTGGCATTTCTTCCTGCTGAAGCCTCTCCAGTTCTATCAGGTCTTCATTGGTAAGTTCTTCATTGTGAGAGTTGAGGAGGTCTTCTACGTCAGCGTCATCCACTTCATCTAATCCAGCCTTCTTTGCAAGAGTCAAAATAATCTTCCATATTGCAGGCACTGAAGGGAAACCAACGAAGTTGTGCACACACTCGGGCCTCCCATGAATCACTGATGTTTTTTATGGCTTTCCTGATGTTGTAGTGTTTTTTCCAAAACTCCCGGATTGTAGGTTCCCTTCTCCATCAGTCCCCTCAATCAGCTGCTCCATGATACGCTGAATGTAGAGATGAGGCCCTGGTCCGTGGGTTGCAGCAAAGCCATGGTGTTGGGAGGCAAAAACACAACTTTAATTTTTTTACACCAGTCAACCATAGCTGGTGGATGACCTGGTGCGTTGTCGATCACCATCAGAGCTTTATCATCAAAATTATTTTCCCTATTATAGCGACTAATGCGACCGGACACATAGTTGAACATGTAGTCATGCATCACAGAACCCTGTCACCCACGCCTTACGGTTTGGACGCCAGACGACAGGAAGTTGTCCCATCACAACCCCCCTCAGAACATGGGGTGTTTCAGACCTGTATACAAGGAGACGCTTTAACTTCAGGTCACCCTCAGCATTTCCACCAATCAATTGAGTGAGGCGGTCCTTGGCAACTTTGAATCCCGGTGTAGTCTTTTCCTCCCTCTGGTATGTACAGTAGATCCGTGAAGGCATTTTCTTCCAGAAGAGTCCGGTCTCATCCAAGTTGAAAACTTGCTTAGGACTGTACCCACCCTCCTTAATTATGGTTGTGAGAAACGGTGGGAACTTCTCTGCTGCTTCATGGTCGGCGCTAGCTGATTCTCCGTGTATTTTTAGGTTGTGGATTGATATACAATGGTCCCTCAGTTAACGAACACAATTCATTCCACAGAGTCGTTCGTTAACCGAATCCATTGTTTCAATGGGATATTTGGGTAATTGGTTCCAGCTCACCAAAAAGTACATACAAAGAAAAAAAATGCAGTAAAGTACACTTACTTTGAGGTGTGTATGTAAAAGGTTCCTGGTTGATGATGATGATGGGAATTAGAAGTGAGGGTGGAGGAGAAGGGAGTAGAGAAGGAAGTGGGGATGGAGGAGAAATCACCTTTCAGGGGACCCATGCTTGATGCCGTCATTTCACCAATAAAATTTTAAGTTCACTAGGTGTAATTCAAGATTATTTTCTTTAAATCAACACTGCACTGCGCTATATATTATCAATATGTTAACTAAATTTCAGAATTACCAATAATTTCATTGAAAAATGCAAAAATATTCAAGACACCAACAAAATAGATGTTCACTCCACTGTTTTCAAAGCCCCGCTGATTCCTTGTGGCTGAATCAAGCTGCTGATGGGCGCACAAAAAACTAGTTCCCTGTACTGCATATATTATCAATATGTTAATAAAATGTTAAAATGACTAATATTTTAATATAAAAAATGCAAAAATATTAAAGAGCACAACTTTATTGATATTTACTCCACTGGAAACGAATGTAAACATAGAACAGATAACTGAGTTGGCAGACTAGCCCATCAACTGATCAGCTGATGCTCACAATAAGACGTGATGTTCGTAAGGATTTTGTTAATCAAATTTTAGTTCGTTAATCGAATTGAAGATTCCATGGAAGGTAATTCGTTAACCAAGGGACCACTGTACGTTTCC